CTTTCTAATGCATATTTTGTCCCTCGGACAAACTACACATAAGATGTGACATGAATCATTCTGGTCCATCCTGGTTGTCTTCCTTCCTGCCTTTTCCCCGTGTCCTCGGCCATGTTTTGCTTCCTAGGCGGTTTACCCGGCCCGTCTCCTTTCTCGCACACATATACATAATGCATATTGCACAGTCAGCCCTTCTGTTCACACAGTCAGCTTCCAGTGGATTTTCTTTTTCTTTGTCAACACAGCGAGAGAGATGCCTTGAGTTTAGGCAACGATGGCCCGATAAGATTAAAACAGAGCATGATTGTGTTGTTGCATCATCTAGAGCGGCCATCAGAACAATTAGGAAGGAAGTGTGAAATGCAAATGAGCAATCAGAGATAAAAAATAAAAAAAAGATTTCATATCTGTGTTGAAGATCCAGCCTTATTTCATCTTTAGTTAAACAAAGAAAAACGATTGGTATTTACATCCCTGTGTTTGCTCATTTAAACCTTCACTTAAGGTATCTGAAATCAATGGTGACACAAGCCAGGTCAACGCCACGATCGATTCTCTGATAGAAACTAGTTTTAGCGGTTTAATTCAGCTGGACGTGTCCTGCAGAGAGGAGGGGGTAATGGGGGGGGGGGGGGGGGGTATTCTTGTAAGGAGCTGATCCAGAACCCCCTTTTGACCCTCTTACTTATAATGAAGGCAGCACTCCTGTTTTCATATCAACACGGCGTTGAGGATGAAGACAAGCGAGTCTTTGTGTGACCGACTCCTTTGTGTCCGCCGTGGAGTCACGAGATCACGAGACGGGGCAGCGAGAGGAACCGCAGGGACTTCATCCCACTCCCACTGGACAAAGCGTCTTCACGCGGCGTTGTTGTCTTTGTAATTAGTTTGCCTTCAAGCACAGAACGCTTCTTCTGGGAAGTTGGTCCCACGTGGAATTGCCTGTGTCTTTTTGTAAAAGAAAGTTCAGAGGAGGCAGACAGAACTAGACGCAGGTCCAATAGAGTGGCCCCCCCCACACCCTCCTCCGGCCCGTCATGATCTCCACACAGCTGTTACCCTTCACGACTGGTTTCGTGCCACTAGCTCCACGCATTTAGCACAGCCACAAAAATCTCACCGGTTATTCCGGAGCAATTTAGCGTTAGTTTCTGTTTTGAGCAGCGTTGCCGGGGACGAGGATCTGGAATAGAAGCCTCGTGATCAGATCTCTTTGACAGTTCATCTCGCTCTGGCTGTCACAGTGAAAAGCGCCGGTAAAACTCGCCACTTTATCGCAGCGGTGCAATATTTTGCCACATTGACTAGAATGACCAATAGCACAATACAGACACACTAAACTACAGTAGCCCTGCATTCAAATGTTACTTAGATAAAGGTTTTATCAGTAAAACAGTAGCATTTAATGCATCAGCTCAGTTCAAACTACTTTACATACGAGCACCAGCGTGGACCTTTTGGAACGCGTTCACAAGCCAAATGGTTTGGAGGCCCACATTTGAACAATGTGTTGCATTTTATCGTCTTTTTATACATATATAAAGCCTTCCAATCTCCGATCGCTCCCCTCAGGTAAACAATAGCTCTGGCAGCACCGTTGTTTGCAGTGTTCACGTTCTGAGCAGAATCCGCCGGCTCAGCCTTTGCCTTTTGGGAGGCAAAAGAATCCTGGTCAAGGGTACCGAAGGAGAGTTTCCTGCTTCAGTCAAACACGCATTTGGTTTCTTTGATGAATAATTGTTTGCAGAAACATAAGCAGGCAGTCTAGGGAAGATTAGGGTAATTAAAAAACCGTTTGAGTTAGTTATTCACAAGAGTCTTGCACGGAGACTCACACGGAGGAGAAATCAGTCACAGCTGTGAAGCAATCGCATCACGGATCAGCTCGGTTACGGTCGGATACGGGACCCAAATCAGGGATGGTGTTCTTTTTCATTCAAACACGCTTACATTGTTCAAATAACTGAGAAACTACGACCCTCCCCGTCCTTGACCTTCTGCTTGACCTTTGTGTCGATGTTTGTGCACAATGACATGACTTGCAAAGAGCAAAGAAAGGCACACACACACACACACACACACACACACACAGGCACAGTACACACAAATAATGGTTTCCGCTCCATGGCCCGGTTTGATTAATGGGCTGCTGGTGTACCGCATCTCGCTTGCCACACCAGCAGTTTGCTCGGTTGCTACCCGACAACACGCGGACCGGCGGAGAGCTTCATGTGCCTTTTTTTTTCTTCTCGCTTCTGCTATTAAAACAAGGATCACGTGTTTCGTGTGAGTTTATCAGTTGTGCGTCATTAATTGCATTCTCAGGGGGATTCAACGTGAACTTTGGAACTCTATGAACACCTGAACAACAGTGTAGTCGGAGCAGATGTGGCACGTTCATGATTATTCATTCAGACTCCATGTCCTCTTACACAAGGTGTGGCTTGTGTCCACTCCAGTCTTATGTTTCCTCATGTCGCACAATCTAGCAGACCGTTAAAAGTCACCTCGGACATCTTTAGTCTGTTAAAAGATGATGCCGGTCCGGCTCTATTTTACACAATTAAATGCTTCTCTTCTGTGCAGGAAATGCCCACTAATATAATAATGCTAGATATAAAAAGACGATTTTCCTACAACGAGTTTGATTGTTCTGAGGTATGAAGCCAACAAAGGCATCAGCCAATCAACTTCAGTTTCTGTGCAAAACAATTGCACAAAGAAAAGGACCCGATAACAGTATGGAGGTCTTTAAGGGGGCCGATAGTTCTTTCAGCAGTCGGTGGAGGCAAAAACAGAATCACCCAAAAAATGAATTGTGTAGCAAAATGACTGCTAGATGTGTACAACTGTTGGCTAACATAACAGCTTCATGGAGTCACGACATGTAATAGTGTAATTAGTTCTGGACTGCCACCATGTGGCTAAAAATGAAGCATTTAAAGTGAAATCAATAAAACAGGCTGGAAAGGATTCTAGAGTTCTCAAAGTCAACCGTGAATCGTTTGGTTTTAATCTATAAAAAGACCCTTATAAATAAGTAGATATCAGAATGCGCTCGAGCCTCTGGGACTCGCCGGGGACTGAGAGGCCGTCCGTGTGCTGTCAGACTGAGTATAATCCTGCACCGCTGGGAGAATACTGATGAGAAGTGCTCAGATGGAGATGAGGACTTGTGTGTGCGCGTGTGTGTGTGTGTGTGTGTGTGTGTGTGTGTGTGTGTGTGTGTGTGTGTGTGTGTGTGTGTGTGTGTGTGTGTGTGTGTGTGTGTGTGTGTTGAGAGCATTGACAAGCACTGAGCCCTGACCCTGATGGACACGCAGTCCTATAATATATTTATGGTTTGGTGTCACACAATATTGCCGGGCTATATCTAAAATGCACACCGGGCTCATAATGCACAGCTTTCAGTGATGACATAGAGTGCAAGTCAGAGGTTTTCAACAAGCTGATACACATCGCAGCCCTCTGCTAGCAACACAAACACAGGAGTGGTCTCGGGTGGAGTTTCACTGTAACGGCGGTTAAAAATGCGAGGTTACATCATCACCCGGGCATGTTAGGTATTGTGCCTCTTCTATGCTATCAGTCCGTGTTCATCGCGGCTTTGGAATCACATCCTCTCTAATAGGAGTTTCCATCACAGTTTAAGAAGTAACACAATGGTGTAAAGGGCATTTAAAGGTGAACACCACCCTTTTTCAAAGATGACTATCATGGTTAACCTTTTTTTTTATTAACTATTATTCATCAGCTATTTTCCTGATGACAATCTTCTGCAAGCATTCACGTGCTATTTTTTTCTTTTCTAATGGGAGAACAATAAAATGGGTGTAATATTATTGTCTACGGTGCTTTTGGGTAAGAATGTTTCAATAAGACTCTCTGGGGACAGATGCCAACATTATGAGACGTGCAGTAACTGGCCGACTGCTGCTCTCTAGCGGTTGTTACGTCACATTACAGCGTCACAAAAGCTCTCAAAATACTTTGGAAAAACCTGAATTTTATGTTTTATGAGTTGCTGCTTTCAATGATCAGGAACATACTGCGATGTTAGACGACATGTAAACCTACATATGCCTTTTCAAAATAATATAAGCATTGTGCATAAGCAGTTGCAAGTTTGATGTCTGATCGTTCGTTCTGGTGTACACATAGAAGAATGGTTTTGTATCATAATGACCACAACGTTTTGGCTGCAGCTCCTAGCCCCAGCACCTATGAGAAGGTGTGCAATAAGGGCACCCTGTGTCATTTCTGTACAGATGTATTACATGTAATCTATTGTATAACAAAAAGTGAAAGATTTTTTTTTCTCAATATGAGCATAGCAACAAAACAATTATTAGATCTGCTATTAGATCTACAATTATTAGATTATTATTATTATAAAAAGTCAAAAGCCACCACCAGGTGTCCTGATCATGCTGACCAGACAATTAGCTGACTACTTTGCACATGTACAGACAGTTTTCATGCACAAAACCATTTAATGACACTTAAAATCAATTTTTAAAATACTTTAATATGTTCAGGAGTTCGAAAATTAAAAAACGGGTCCATTTATGTCACATGTTCTCAACTGGTTGTTGTGTAAACATTTGCTTTAAGTTTCTGTGTGCTGTCAAACAAAGTCAAAACATGACCTTAAGTGAGACAACAAACTAAGTGGTATTTACTATGTATTTGTTGTTTTCGATTTTATGCAGCTAATCTGAGAGATTAGATTCGATTGTTTCCTCAGGGCCAAATGAACATGACACACTGACTAAACAATACAAGAGGACATTTTTACTGCGTCAACAAAATGACACGATTGGGTAAGACTGACCTGTGAATATTAAACTGCATCCATCCTTTTAACAAATGTAACGTATGTAATAATGTTTATATCACAAACACCATGTAGACCTAAAAGACCACCAACAATACAACAACTATGTTACAATCCTAATCCTAATCAACCATATTTACAACTTTGATGTCAAATGTGTCACCTGACAGCTGAACAAGTCCGATAACGTCCATCCGGCGTGTTCCTCCGTCACGTGGTTCCTAATCAGCCCGCCCGCGGCACGGGATTGGCTCTCCCGTGTTCTCCCTCCTCCAATCACGAAGCCTCCCCGGCTCCGCCCGCCACATCACTGGCATGGCGGAGCAGCCGAGCAGGAATTCCGGGTATATCGCCGCCGGTGACAGCCTCCCCCCCTCACTCCTCCTCCCTCCCCCTCCTCCCCGATGGGGTAACACCGACCATGACCCGCGTCTGGCGTTACAGATCCGTTGCTAAGCGACGAGCGGCTATCAACTAAACCGGCCGCGAGGCCTCTCGTTCGCCTGAGACTTCGCAGGAGGAAGCGGAGGAAGCCCCGATGCTCCGAGTTGGACCGGTGCCCACTTTCTCCACTCGGAACTACTCATCATCTTGACTCTGCGAGGAGTTTTATAGTAATTCACGACGAAGAGAAAAAACGGTGATGGATTGGTTCGGGTTGCTGGCTCTGGACGAGCTGTCCCACGGACTGGCAAACTTGTCCATGTTTCCGTACTTTGACGTGGCGCACTACGTCGTGTCCATCATGGCCCTGAGGGAGCAGCCAGGTGAGAATGACGCAAAGTCTCGTGCGCCGCGTTCACTGGTTTCCGTTATTTTGAAGTTCTGTTTTGGCCCAGTTTGCTGCTGGCGGAACGCCGAAACGCCGGTGAAATCCACCTCAGGATGTCCTGGTGTTTCCCGATCAAAAGCAGAGCGACTCTTGACCTTTTTGGGTGACAAAAACTTAAAAACAACAACATCTAATCGGGTTTATTGGCGCGTGGAGTCTCGAGCCCTCCTTGCTTCTGTTGTGACCTGTCGTGACCTTTCTCAACAAAGACAAATACGACATTTAATATATTTAACTTTTAGTCTTTTCTTGTTTGAAGCTACATCAAACTGCTTATTTATTTGTTTATTGGCCGTTGGCCTGATAAATTTACTCCAACAAAAGTCAGATTAATCCCTCTTTTCAAAGGTCACTAAAAGCAGAATATTTGATAATTAAAGCAAGATGTGGCAGATATTGGGACGCAACGAGTGAATAAATAAGCAATAAACGAGTTTAGCTTTTGAAGCGTGCAACGGTTGATTGTGTCAGTTGAGACCGACGTGTTATGTCACGAGATAATGTCCACAGAGACAGGTGGACTGTAACTGGCCAGCGTGTCGACTTTCCACACGCACAAAACCCAGCAGAACACACACACACACACACACGCATGCTATTGTAGTCCCCCTGGTGTGATACCACAGTCTATTTTGGAAGTTGCATCTGGGCTCCCGTGACCTTCCGACCCTGAGTCCTCTGCTACTGTCTCTCCATAAAGGACAATAAGTTCAACGCTCGGCGAGCAGGTTGGAGTTCTTATTTTTCTCAAAAAGGAAAGGAATGCCACTAAACTGCCCCCCCCCCCCCCCCACACTTGTTTTTACGTGTTTATCAGACCATCGCTATATGTGTATGCAGAGTTATTTTCAGCAGACGAGTGGATTGTAAAGGACACAGGAGGACAGTGGATCAGTGATTCCCTCTTGCAGGCCTAAAATAACCGGAGGATAAGCCACTTTGTTTCTTCTGGTCATCCAGTTTCAAGTGTGAGGAGGAATGTCTGCGGGGGAATGTCTTATTTCAGTGTGTGCGGTCGGACAGATGCCGTCCCGGTCTTCCGTCTTTCTCAGTTGCAGGATTTCTCCTTTTGTCCTTTTTCTGTGCTGCTTTATAAAAGATAGATTTGTAAGCATGTTGAATAAACTAATGTACGCTAAATATACTCATGAACAAACTGGTGTTTCTCGGCCCGTGTTTGGCAAATTTGACTTGCAAACGTGTTTCCTTCGACGCAAACCAGGAAACCAGGATCTTGATCTGCTGATGGTTTGTCTGGAGCCCGGCAGCTCTGAGCAGTCCAAGCTGTGATATATCTCAGGGGGGGGGATTTAAATCTCATATAGGCGGAGAGAGGGACTATTTCCTGTCTGACGTTTGTTTTTTCCCTCTAAACCTCTTCTTCTTGTAGTGGCAGCTAGAAACGTTCATTACATCAGGCTTCATGTGCAAAACACCCACTGCCGTTGGGTTGTTATTGCAAAAATAAAAATACGAATAATAAAAATGAAAGATGCACACAAAGAAACACTGTAACATCTGTTAACACTGACACTTCCCTGTGCTTTTTATGCTGCAGTTGCACCGGGGGCGGAGGCCATATTGCACTCACTCACCACTTTTTGAGTTTGTAACTCTTTGGGGCAGTTAAGGGGGCGATGGAGGATGAAGGGACTGACGTGAGGTCAGTGAACTGTAAAAGGCTGAGAGCGCGTCCCGGCCCGTGTTCTAAAAACACACTGTTTTGTCCATGTTTGCATGATCTGAATACGCAAATTTAATACTGAGATTTGCGAATTTCCCCAGCTGTGGAACTATTAAAGTAAATTAAATAAAGATTATTCTTATTTTTATTTGTTCACTGTGAAGGACATTTTCATATAATCATCTCAGAATGAAGGAATAGTGAGAACAAATGAACCTCTTGTGATCCGCTTCTGACACATTTAAAAAGAAGCGCTCCTCATTTCTCCTTTTTAATTTTTCTTCTGTATCAAATTAATCTGCATACATTGCTATGCTATTTGCTCAGATTCAAATGAAAGAAATGGGGATGTTGTAACAGCTGACTTACTCCATGCCAACAACTTGCTGAAATCACTCAAAGCCAAAAGATTATTTGAACAAAGCATGATTTTTTCACCCAAATCATATAATAATAACAGTTTCAAAATGATTTTATATTCGCAAATAGAAAGCGATAAAATCATCTCGTATCTCAAAAAGGAACTATCAGATAAAAGTGCTCTAAAAGATTGACGCAGATTTTTCAAAGTTCCTGTGTGACTGATTATAAATTAGTTACTGCTTACACACTGCTGCAACAGCATTAAGAAAATAATAATGTCATTCATGATGGTGGGTCACTCATACGTGGCCTCGTACTTCACAAAGATGATTTTTAATGGCGGCCTTTTACATCAAATTAAGTATCTTTTGTTGTATTGTTACGAATAGTATTCATTATTTTTTTAGCATCAGAAACATTGTCGAAAATGATAATATTGTTAAATATCACATATAAAAACTAATAATACTACACAACTTTTGTAAAACCTATAAATGGTTAAATTCAACTGCTTCTCATCCCCATTTGTTCTTTGAGTGGGAACAAAGTTAATAAGTCAGCAGAGGAGGCACGTGGCTACAGATCCTCCTGGTCTCACCCGTCTCTCTCCAGGTGTACAATCTGTCTGTAATCCTCAGATTACCAGCATGATCCTGTGTGGGGCCAAAGGGACTGAGGGCCGGCGGTTCAGGGCCGACCGAGTGAAGTAAAACTGTAGTATCACAGTGTGACTCTGGTGGGTTTGTCATAGTTTTACACCATTTCTCTGTTTCATATAGAGGATTTTGGGAATCACAATCTTTGGCCGAGTAACACCAGACCTTCCTTCCATAGCGGAGAGAATCAGCATGCTGATACGCAGCCGTTCTCGTGCTATTTGAGTTGCTCATGCTCTTTTTGTAGTGAGCGTGTAAATGGTTTCAGTGGAAAAAGGAGTGCAGTGCGTATTTAAATAGGGCGGAAACACACAGAGCGCATTGATCCAATAAACCCCTCAGCTCTGTACTTTGGACCACGCAGTCATGTGACTGCTTAACAAACTTCCCTCTAACCAGTTAATATTAATACAGTTGCAGGGGTTGGGAGACTCACAGGGAACACACCAAATCCCTCCACTATGATGCCAACCGTATTTAATGCTTATTATGTTAAACATTTAAACAACAGTGATTGCAGAAGAGGGGGGGGGGTTCCAGGGGTTTCAAAGGCCCCGTAGGAATGCTAATACCTTTTTTATTTATTGCAAATTTCCCCTGGTGATGAGAGTACTCCTTCTCTTGTGCAGGTGCCCTGGAGGTCTCCAGAGTCAGCCCCTTAGCCTGCTGGTTCAGCTCCATGCTCTTCTGCTTCGGCGGCGCCGTGCTGTCCGCCATCATGCTGGCCGAGCCAGCCGTTGCGCCTTTGTCCAACAGCACCAGTGTTCTGCTCGCGTCGATCACCTGGTAAATATCCGAGACCGAAAAATAAGAGAAAGTAGAGTGAATTTCCACTAAGGACATTGAACGTAACAGAGAGGTGGTTGTCAGGTTCCCACCTCGTAATTATGAAGCCTATGGCGACCTCTACTGGTGGCACATCGTATTACACTCCCCTTACAAAACACACAGCCCCCCCTGCTGGTGACGTCAGGTCCTTGACAGAAACTAGTAGGTGATACTGTCAGAATGTTTAATGAACACATAGTTGACACCCAGTAGGTAGCAAACGTGTGAGTGTGTGTGTGTGTGTGTGTGTTTGTGTGTGTGCATTATTTATGCACACACACATCATTTATATTTATTCAAGCCATATGTGTCTCTACAGGTACCTAGTGTTCTATTGCCCCGTGGACCTGGTGTACTGTTGTGCGGCCCTGCTGCCCCTCCGGCTGGTGCTGTCAGGCATGAAGGAGGTGACCAGGACGTGGAAGGTGCTTGGCGGGGTCACCCAGGCACACGGCAAATACAAAGACAGTCTGCTGGTTATGATTGCCATCGGGTGGGCTAAAGGTCGGGCAGCCGATGCGGCCTGCAGAAGGATTTTATATAGATTATGTATTGTATCAATCTGTGTCAAGCACATTTTCTTTCTATTTTTTTACCCCCACTAGGTGCCGGCGGTGGTCTGATAAGCAACTTTGAGCAGCTGGTCCGAGGTGTATGGAAACCAGAGACGAATGAGTTCCTAAAAATGTCTTAGTAAGTCTTCTGAAGGACCCTCGTCAACCTCCCATCTTATCCTTTATAAAAGTATATTTTTAATAAAACGATTGAGTGAATCAAACATAGTTTCATATCTTTATCAATCGTGTTCCCTTCGTTAGAATGTGATCCGCAGTGATTCAGTACATTTCTGCGTGATAGATGTGACGATCACATGTTAACTACTCATCATCGCGTGTCTGTTTTAAGCCCCACCAAGATCACCCTGATAGGAGCGGTGCTGTTTGCTCTGCAGCAGACCCACTACCTGCCCGTCAAGACACACCACCTGATGCTGGTCTACACCGTCTTCACCGTCGTCAACAAGGTCAGCGTGGAGCCCACACCCGAAGGACCCAGTGATAATAAGCGATTCGGATGCAGTGCATTTGCTCCCCTTTGGAAAAAACAAACAAACACGTGTATTACTTGTGTCGAATGTTTTGGTGGCGCGTATCCCTCCGAATCGGTGGCGTCCTGTCGCCTCAATGACCTTTTTCTCCATGTGCCTTTTTTTGAAGCTTGAGCTGCGGTGACTCACATTAGCGCGGTGTTGCCCGTAGGGCCGGGGCTTTTGCATCATTTTCATCAGCTTGCATCACCTTCTCTCTGCTCTTCTTTGGGAAACTTGTGCTCCTGACTGAGGCGAAGATAAATCTACCTCAAATTAAGGCAGAGACGTTTCATCAGATTCAAAGTCTTGCGTCCAAATCTTCTATTTATTAGTTTGTCTTCCCAATGATATGGATGTTACGCTCCCTCCCCCTAATTAACTAGGGACAAATTCTGTACAACTGCTGAATTAATTTATTAAATTCTAACCCTAATAAGGATTTTTGAAATTCTTTCTTTCAGGCCAGGATGATGCTGACGGGCTCCTCCGCCTCACCGTTTGCCGTCGTCGAGTCGGCCATCTACAAGACCCTGTTCACTGGCCACTCCCCTTATGCCGCCCTCGCCGTGGAGGTAAAAAGAGCGTGCATCGATCGCGGCGCAACAAACGGGACGACCCCCGCCGGCGCCAAAGAGGTCGGTGGGAACGGGGCGGTCGAGGGACAAAGCGGATCCCTCAAAGCCAAAGAGGAGTCAGAGAAGAAGATAAACTAGTCGCCGCCGGAGCGCCTCCCCACCTCGGCGCAGGGTTGTGAAGTCATTTCTAATTCAGATCCGTCGCGTCATTACCTAAATGTTGCATGTTTTTTTGTCCCGTCCCAAAAATATTTCTCTTTATTTGGAATGCAATTGAAATCTGACTGCTGAAATACTAGCTGACTCCGACCCGTCCTGCACCTTATTATGGGATAATCACCACGTCCTTAAACTACTGTGATATTTATGCTGTTGGAAGTGAACATCACAAATCCTCTGGCTGATTACACACTTGTAGTACAACGTGTTGCTTAATTTTGAACATATTTAGTGAAAGTGTTAATTGTGTTTTGGGAACAGTGCTGTGCACCTGCTGATATATTAATATCTACGTATCTTTTTTCTGCTTCATGTAAATGCTATATTTCCTATTCTGAAATGCTTGAAAACATTTTGTTAAAGAGATTATATTCTATAAAACTCAGATATTTTATTCTTTTTATACTGAACACACTGCACTCTTCAATAAACATTTAAAAAATAGAAGACAATTTTCATTGTATTCTGTTTCTATGGTGAATGCTTTGAATTACGCTTGAAAGCATGAGAATAAACGGGTTTAATCAACTATACAATTGTTTTTCTGATTTCTCCCCTTTATCAAACAGATTCATATATATATATATATATATATATATATGCTGGTTAGCTGATAAGCGTCCAGAAGCAACCTCCACTATAGGCTGAAACATTGCATCATTGTAACATCAGCACCTGATTGATACCTCAGTCTCTTTAAAAAGCTGCTGGAGAGCGATCCCCCCCCCCCCCAGATTCTCATCGCTGTAACCTCAGACCGCAGAAACACCCCCCTGTGAATACAAATTAAGAAGAGATGGAGGTTGGGGGGGCGTTGAAGAGATTCAGATCTTCATGTCAGGAACAGGCTTGCATCTGAAAGAGCTGCATAACTGCTCTTTGTGTGTGTGTGTGTGTGTGTGTGTGTGTGTGTGTGTGTGTGTGTGTGTGTGTGTGTGCGTGCATATCTGTGCATTGATCTTCGTGAATATAATAGCAAACTATGTGACCCTGAAAACTGTAAAATGCGTTAATAAGCCGCTCTTTTCCTCACGCTGCCTCCCATGATAAGAAAGACCTGCGTGACCCTCGTCGCAATTACTCATTGAACTGAGCTACTGCTTCTTGATTTGCGTCTCATCACTTGACCTAAAGAATGATTCTAGAGTTTTGCTTTGTGTGCTTCGGGTCAACAAATCTCACGAAAGGAGCAAAACAACTGTGGTAAAAAAAAATAGTTGCCCCGTAGATGTACTTTTTTCATGCATTTTGCTGTCACTTCAAGCGAATCCCTACTCCAAAAAATATGAATTACCAATTTTTAATTTCTAAATGCCCATTTTTTTATCATAAGAATGAACCTCGAAAAGGATTGCGAATCAGATTTCAGACCATTCTTTTCAAGGAATGCCAGCCTTGTACTTACAAGTATTCTTTGAGTCACTTTTTTCTCACTGCTGGAATCTGCTCTGCTCTGAAACCAAGATATTTTTAGTAGTAGCCATTTCTAAAACCAAGCTAAAGTGCATCTGCAAAATTCATTTTTCTTTGAATTACCCCAGAATCTACAATTATTAGTCATCGCAGAAACTGTTTGGGGGGAAACATTCTTGACTTTTCCATCGCTCTATTTCCTTAGTCTACCGTGATACAGTGATACAACCATGATGGCGGCCACGGCTTGAACCGCCACCTGCATCTCAAACACACACACCCTCAGTTTCAAACACAAACCTGTGTATTCAGTGACGCAATTGTCAGGTTAGCGTCTCACGTCCATTGCTGCCTGAAGGATGGAGCCCCTGTTGTCAAGCGGTGCAGGACAGGTGATTACCACTTGGTGGCGTTAGGAGGCGTCATCTCTGATGGCTTGATGCCTGGGAACCGACAGGCTGGCCAGCAGCTGCAGGCGAGAAGGGACGGGGGGGACGGGAGGGGACCCTCTCTGCAGAGCCAATGGTGGCCGCCTGCATGTGCGTGATCTGGTTTAGCTGCGCTCGTGAGGATTGACGGCGGAAGATCGCGAATTCTTATGAGGACATTCTAGGTGGCGGGATCACGTTGGATGGACCACAATCCGCAATCACTTTCAAAACATCCGATGTTTCTCCTCGATGGACCTGAAGGAGCACATTTGAGACTCCAATCTGTGAAAAAACATCATTCATGTGTGTGTGCTCAGTGTGCACGTGACACAAAGAGCGGGAACAAAAGGCGCCATCAAAAAGGCACAAAGGGGCCTCACGCACACCTACCGACACTCGTGCGTCCACTCACGCTCTCAATGAACCCCCCCCCCCGACCAGCAGACACCTGGGCACTTTGTTTCCCTCCATTTCTCAAAGGAATCAAAGACGACCCATCACGGCGTCCACGTTCATAATCCGATGGCGGTGCCTCAGACGGGACGCCGTTCGGGCCTCCCGCCGCGCAGCGCGCGTGATCTCCATCATGATGGAGATCACGCCCCATGTGCTCCCTCCTGAGCCAATGTCCGCCACGGATGATTTATCACATCAAAAGAAACGAAAACCAATGGAACAGAACAGCTAAACGAGAGGCAGTGACCGTTTTTTCACCGACAAATTTGTCCTATATTTTTTTTTGAATGATCAATTGACAGAATGTGTTGTATACATGACATCTCTTTTTCTGTGTGTCTCTCTCTCACACACGCGCACACACACACACGCACACACATACGCACACACAAGAGTCTCTTCAGAGAGCCTAACTGAATGGCGGAGCAAAGAGCCAATGTCTCCCACTATTCAAGATCGGACTTGTAAAGAACAGCTGCGAGGAGAATGTCCCCCCAAAAAAATGGAGATACTATAATGTGACTAGAAAGCGGTCTGTGTTTGTTTGTGTGGGAGAGAAAGTGAGAAATATAAACACTGGAGAAGGTAAATGTTTAGCTCACATTAGCAAACTTGGTTTTTACTGTGATAAAGAACCATACAAACGCGGTTACATGCATGTGGTTCTGTTTAATATACTGCCACTGAATGTCAGATTTTCATCACATTCTTTATAATATTATATGAATCTTCTTGCTTTAAGGTAAAATATTAAGGATGCTTTTAAAACAAAGGGTACAGAAGTACACACTTACAAGATAACATTGATTACAGATAAGGCCACAAATATGCTATTTTGGTTCAAGAAATGTTCTACACAGCATAGCGTTATTAGTACAATGCATTTTACTGCCAAAGTATGTTGGACATGACATGACATTGGACAATAAGACATTGGACAACAAGACAAAAAAAGAGTGTAGGAGAGACTCTCCTTCTTTAGCTGCTATATTAATTCCCTGTATTCAGACTTTAAAAGGCAGCAGTGTGACGTTTCTGCTGCCCTCAAGTGGCCAAAAAGACCTGCAGGTCCACGTTAAACCGATCATACTTATTCAACAGCCACATTGGGACTTTTTTCACTTTAGCGACTTTCTTCCTAAAATGAATTCCACGATGTCTCCACGAAAACACGAGGATGTCGTTTGTAAGTCGACTTCCCCTTCTTATGAATCTTTGTTCATGAGTGATGAAGAAGCTCTGCCAAACACTCAATGCTCACACGATCTGTGTTTTATTGGGACTGTTAGACGTATAGAGATGCTATATTGGATTTTGGTGTCATTTTTCATGGTCTCAGTTTAAAAATGGATAAATAAACCAAAGCGGAAATTCATCTATATACAATACAACAGTAGCAACAACAAACCGCTACTTTAGAGCAGGTTCCTTTCACGTATTTGTTTTTCTGCTAAATTGTTGGCTGCTACATTTCTCGAGTGAGATGTTTTTCACTCTGGCTGGATGTTCTGCTTGTGCTCCGTGTTGCTCCCCGATCCATCTTGGAAGCGAGGTAAGCCCGGGGCACGCGTCCTCTTTTGTCCTCCCCTGTATATCTGTTCACATGAGCAGGGCCAGCAGTAGGTACATGGTGTGCTCCTGTCACTCCCCCTCCTCCTTTTCTTTTCTTCCTTGACTGAGGAAGCAGATGGTGTTTAGTGTTGGTCCGTGTTTCCTTTTCATTTGAAGGACCTAGAAGATATTCTTAGCCTGCACAGGCTAAATGTGACCTTGCTAACGGAATGGAACAGGAGCTTCCAAGATGACACCCCCCTGCAGGCCGGCTCGTTTGCTTACGGTCACTGGGACCTGCTCATATATCCCATTGTTCCTTTCGCAATCTTCCCTCTGGTTCCTTCTCTCGCTCCATCGGTCCGCTTTATTTTCTTCTACTAATCTGCTGTATCTCCTCCCTCCCTCCCTCCCCTCTGTGTCCCTCACGCTCACATCCTGGAGGGGGGGGGACCCTCAATTCCCTCCATTACTGCCCCTCCCCTCCGCTTGGCCCCTCCTGTATGCAAAGCAGGTGTCAGCAGGACGAGAAGGACAGCGACTACCTCACGGGGTCCTAGGGGCGAAAAACACACACACACACGCACACACACACACACACACCCTTAACGCGTCTCTGCAGGGCGCCTTCTCTATCTACATGCACATCACACGTATGTGCTCCCACACACGCACACGCACACACAGCTCCAGTGGGCTGGGCAGGCGCTGGGGACAAGGGGAGCTGGAGCTGTCTGTCTGTCTGTCATTAGTATTCCAGCAGGAGGCTCCTGGCCCCGGCCAGACATCTGAGCGCAGCAGCCGCAGCAGATAAAGAAGAAGCCATTAATCCAGGGAAGATTACAGGCGCTGATACTTTATCCCACCGTAATACAGCAATGCTACCAGACTCATTCCATTTACAGTGCCGTCAGAGGGAGAAAGGGGGAACGAGGAGGTAGAGAGAGGGAGCAGGGCGAGCTCACCTCGTGGATGGAAAGATGGCAAGACACGGCGAAAGCCAGCTTCCCTTTCATAAGTCTGCCGATTTGAATTTCTTCTTTGATGCAGCAGCGGCTGAGAGAGTGTGTGTGTGTGTGTGTGTGTGTGTGTGTGTGTGGTCTTGCATTCGATTTGTAGATGTTTTGAATTCAGAGTGGTCACCCCCTCAAACCACAGATGGCCACTGTTTCACAAATCTGAGTTGGTCCAAAGAGCAGCTGTGCCCGTTTCGACGCAACGTCCTTAATACGTCTGTTTGCACGGATCCGTACGTGCTTGTGTCCCCGATTGAAAAAAGAAAACAGCACTAACAGGCAACTAAGCCACACTGTAAGAACCTGAAACCAAAATGGGTGGCGTTCTTTTAAGGTGCAAGATGGGATCCAAAGATGCAATCATCAGCCTCGTGATAAGCCTGTCAGCGCAGACTGGAGAACATGACACAATAGAGGCACCACGTTTGAAGCAAGTGAAACAAAAGGAAACAGGATCAATAGCTCAGCAGTTGCAAGAGATTAGATGGGAGTAAGATTCACAGACACTAACTAATAAAGCCCAATCACGGTTGGGATTTCTGGACGATGAAACCAGTGGTGGGAAGAGAAGGGACCATTGACTCAACAAGCGGCCATGACAGATGAGCTGAGGAGAGGTGGAGACAGACAAAGGAGACTAAAAGGATCCCGGTGCCAGCGGGGA